GGCCAACTGGCCAACCAGCCAACGGCCATTGGCCAATGGCCAAACTTTGGCCAAAAATTTTTAAATTTGTAATATTAACCAATCATATTGCTAGTTTTTATTATATAAACTTTTGGCCATTTCGGCCAAAAAAAAATTTTCAAAAATTTGGCTGTTGGCCGGCCAAATACCTATGTGACTACACTGGTTATAACTAAGACTTTTGTAAAAATTTTATAAATGTGATTTTGTTGATTTGTGTAATTTATGAAAATCATATAATAAAAAATCGGATATAATATATCGATCAACTGATATATAAAATAATCTATGTAATAAATGAAAATAAAAAAATAGTTTATGAGGTGTAGTGACTTAGTGTAGTGGTCTAGTCATCACCCTCCCCAAGTGGCAGGTCTAGAGTTCAAATCTCACTAGTGACGATATTTAAAAAATAGGCCTGTGTTCAGTTGACGGCTATGCTTATCAATTGGATCTAGAACTAAATCTGTAACTTTAGTCACACCATCTTGTAATGAGAGCTTTGGCGCAATAAATCTGAGGAACTGGCATAACCAAAAACCTATTTGGGAAGTCCCGGATCTGGATGTAACAGTGATCTTCAATGGTACCACAGAAGGGCTGTATTCGAACCAGAGCCCATGATCGGAGAACCAAGCGACCAGGTCCTATAGCAGAGGACACACCAGCCAAACTGCCAGGTTGTCGCACCGGAGGAAAAAGGCATACGCTCCAAAAGTATAGACCAAGGGGAGGGCACCCTTCAGGCACTAAAGCCTGGGCAGACCAACCCTTCTGGGTTGCCAGCTGGAAGTAAGAGAGGGACCGATAGAGAATCCAGGTAAGAAGACGGTTCCAAGTGTAGGTACTGGGGTTGTTGTGAACCATTAAGGGCAATGAGTATATAATAGAAAGCTAATTAGAAAGGTTGTAGCTTGAGATACAGATCAGGTTACGGCAGTACCTTAAAGGGTAGCTTGAGATACAGACTCAGTATCGGCAGCACAACAGATACTAACTAGGAAAATACTATGGAATATGTAGGTGAATGCATGTGTGGGACATGTACCGCTCTGTTGGGTTTACCTTTGAGGATAGTAAAGTGTCCTAAATTGGCTGTTTATGTAGTGGTGTTGCAAAACCTATATATCCTAGTAGTGAGTTACACTTGCAATAAGATAGGTGTCAGACAAATATGTTAAGATCAGAGGGTTTAAATGGGTACCCCTCTAGTTGGAGTGCAGGTACGGCAGATAGTGTAGAACCTTTGAGCAGACTACTTAAATTGGACACTCAAAAGATGCACATGTAGCTATATGTACCTTTGTCTATTTGTATAGTTCTGAACTTGACTTAATAAATATCACCGACCAAGAAGGTCTCCTTTAATTAAAAAAAAAAAAAAATAGTTTATATTTTTGTTGAGTTATTTTTTTTTCTTGAATTATTCTTAGCAAACATTTTTTATAATGAAAATAAACAAAGATAAAAATATTTTTATTTTGGAAGATAATAGTTATAATCTATGCTCTTCATTGTCTAAATTAAATTACAACATTAGCCAACTTTTTACATGTCAATCCTCTTAACAATTACCAAAATCGCTTCAAGAACCAAATGAAATTATTATATCTACTCAAGATAATAATGATTATGATACTCTATCTGAAGAAAGCTCACCTAATCAACTTAAAAAGAAATGTCATGGTGGGCCTAAACGAGATTTAGTTTGGGACTATATTGATATTAGTAACCATTTAGAAGTTTGGCATTATGGTGCAAGTTGTAGGCATTGTTTACTTGCATGGAATTATGAAAAGCTACAAATTCTTAAACAACATTAGGCACACAAATGTAAAAATGTTCCTTAAGAAATTAAAGATATATGGCGTAATAATTTGGCAATGGAGAAAAAAACTATTAAAAGACAGAATAAAATTGAATCTAGATTAGAATTTTTCTCATAGTATAATATTTTTAATTAATTAGATTTAAAAACAATAACAAAAGAAAGGTAGTGACAATTAGACAGAGCTATTTTAAAGGGTTAGATTTATACTGAAATTCTATTTGAGACTATAGACAACTCATTTATTATTAACATGTTTAAAACTTTAAATATTGGATACAAATCTTCTTCATGGTTTACTCTTTCTGAATGCATTTTAGATGAAGAAATTGCTAAGGTTGAAAAGTTAATTAATACTGAGTTAGAAGATGAAACAAATTTAACCTTAAGTAAATAATTTTTTTTTAATATTCAAGATAACAATTATATATCTAGAGTTATTACATAATACAATTATAAATAAAATTTATATTGATATTATAATTTTTAATTTTTTTAATAAATATATTTTCAATCAACTCTCACCGACGATCCCTCGTACTAAAATTTTTGGGAAGAATCCAACTTGAAAAACAAGAAACCCGATATATAATACACCTGGTGAAATGAATAAAACCATAAGCCAGCACCTATCGTTTAGAGGTAGTTCTCATATGCTACCTGCCGATAGGCTTAGAGTTTATCACTCACTGCAGGGACGGCAACTGTCGTTTAGAAGTAGTTCTCATACGCT